AAAGTTTTAAAATTAAAAAAAATTAAAATTAAAAAAAATTAATTAAAATTTCATCTAAGGAGGATGATGATAAGAAACACCAGTCATTCCAGCTATTCTCGGATAATCTTGGAATGACCTATCTCTTATCGTTCTCCTCGCAACCTCGGAAAGGCCAAGAACTATAGTTAACTATATATAGTAACAAGAATATTACCGACACGTTACTGACGTTACACGTAAGGTTTAGATACCTTTTCGATGATTCTTTCCATAATGGTGATCCTGGAAGAAGAGAAATTGTATTCAAAGACAAGAAGACCTGTTGAGGTTTTTCATTGTGACGTCACGCTATCGAGATTGAAAAAAAATCTTTTTCTTTTTTGTTTTATCGAAAAAAGAGTTTGCTTTCAAATATTTCACATACATATTAGTAAAATGGTAAAGTTTCGTGAACATTGTCCATTATCCAGAAAATGCATGTATGAGTTTTTGAACCTTACAATTTTTATTTTACAAAGAAAATTTGCGGCCAGCCAAGATACATTTCTGTGTCAAAAAAATCTTATCTTCGAAAGTTTGCATGCGATCTTCACGAAACTTAATAGTTTTAATAACACTTGTATGAAAACGTTGAATATTAACTCCTTTCTTAGATTTGCTTTAGCTAAAAACATTTTTTCTCTCAGGTAAAATCCTTCAAAATCTAACATCTCTCTCTGGCAATGATTTTGACAATGATTTGTCTCTGAAATGATTTTCAAGGAGATTTCGTATTTAGAACGAAAATAAATAAATTGAAATCAAAACTCGAGATTTATATATTAACTATATTAATACGGTTGATATATTCCCGAGATTCAAATTTTACTCGATATATTTTTTGAATTTGAAGGTGAAATATATTGTGGTGTAATATGAGGGTGTTTGACTCGTCGCTCTAAAAAAATCTAACTTTAACATATATGATATGAAGGAGTGTTTACCTAAAAGTAAATGATTAAAGGGTAAATTCTACACTGTGAAAAGATGAAAAAACTTACTGGCGTTTCGGACGCTATACCTTCGTCGGAGAAAAGAGGAAATGATAAATTTCTTTGGCGTTGGATTATATATATATACTTATTATTATTATTATTATTATTATTATTATTATTATTATTATTATTTTAATTCTAAATTTGCTTTGTCTAGATTAGAATTGACAAGCTTTAAAAAATAGAAATAAATAAAAGACAAAAGCGGAAATAAAATACTGAAAACGTAGAAAACAAATAAATAAAAACAATGAAATTGAAACTAAGTAGTAGAAAAGATATTTGGACTAAATGAAAAGACCTGTACCTTATTTTTCTTCAAGTGTTTAACAACTTTACTGCTGACAATGACAGACATCACAAGAATCATCGCCAGCAACATGCTACACTTAGTATAAAGTACTTTACCCATATCCCTTGTTATAATCAAATTATATCAGCAGCTAAACGACAAGGATACATAACAGGTCTTGATTCTTTCAAGATTTTTTCTGGTTTATTTTTCAGTAAGGGCGTTCCTGGTTTACGAGAGACCAACTCATTGCGAAGCCTGTGATTGGTGCGTTGTGAGAAAAGGAACTCAGCGTTGATTTGACCTGTTGTGGTGGTCTTATTGTGAGTCTTCATGGGGAGGTACTACCATCATGAAAAATATATTAGGACTGAAGAAAGGAAAGGAAAGGATGGAAAGAAAAGGAAAGGAAAGGAAAGGAAAGGAAAGGAAATGGAAGGAAAGGAAATGGAAGGAAAGGAAAGGAAAGGAAAGGATAGAATTGAAAAGAAAAGAAAAGAAAAGAAAGAAAAAGAGAAAAAGAAAATAAACACACATATTGTTGAACATTTTTCACCTTATTTTATTACCACTATTTGATTCACATCGTCTTTAACACCCTGGGTTTCCTTTTTAAAAGAATCTCATTGATATACTACTGTAACGATGTTTTCGCTTAGTATCCCCTGATTGATTAGGATTTCGTTACTTATGCTTGTTATTGCTGTTGTAAGTGTTACGTGCAAAGCACTCAGCTGCAACTTTATCGCATTCACAGACGTCCGTTTGACACTGGTCATTACTGGAACTACCGCCTAGTGGCAAAAAAAAAWAATAATAATAAGATGTTACTGCCTCTTCAATAAAAGTTATGAAGACGTCATTTAAGTCATGGAGACGTCATTTAACCTTGCATTAAATAATATACAAAATTTAACTGATTCACACAAACAGTACTTATAAAAAAGCCTAATTATCATGGCTTACATAATTGCCAGCCTTTATATTAGTATTACTATTCACAGATACCATGAAAAGTCCGTGGGATTTCAAAACATTGGTATTGTAGAGCTCGCACCTTTACATTACAGTTGACTTTTGCTAATGATTTGGGCTTGAGCGAGGCTAAGCCTGTGGAGATGACTCTTCAGTCTTAAAACACAGCGGTATTTACGGAATGTGAAAAGGGACTCTTGAGCGGTATATGGTCAATACGAACCCGATGTGAAGAGTGATTTTTTCAGTTAGAGAGAAAAATACGAAATGTCTATTTGGGAAGATAACTCCGATCGTTTTCCCAGGCTACGAGTGTTAGTTCTGAAGTGTCCGCCATTTTGGATTTGGGAGCGCTGTCAGTGAGTAGCCTGGGAACGAGATCATACTAAATGCACTCAAATACTCAGTCGAATTCGTTAAAATATTGGAAGTATAATCCTTTGTAACTTAAAAACGCATCACTCAAATAAAAACATATTTTACCATTCAACTATTTACTTCGCGTAGAATCAGTACTGAAAGTATTGAATTAGGGCTTTTATACTTTGAAATAAGCATTTTGTATATTATTAATGTTTGTTCTACTCACCGCAAGTGATGCGGCACGAAGGGGAAGTTCCTGCAGTCGCGTAGTTGTAGGACTTCCACTTCGGGTTGCAGTGGTCGTTATTATCGTAACACCGATCGTGAGCTTGACAACATCTTTCAAAAACCAGGAAAGAAATGTGAGTTACGTCCTTATCATTAATTATTTTGGAAAAGCTAATCATATTGTTTTTACCTGTCAACTCCGTCTACCGGGACGCCACTTCCCCCGGATCCGCAATAGTTGCCATAGTTATTGTATTTCCAGGGGGATCTCCCGGTTGCACATCTGATCATTTTGCCAAACTGCAACAAGTTTCGTTTTTCAGCAGGAACATTATCTAGAAGAATTTGGAGAGAAATAGAGAACACTTAATGAAAGATTGATAATAAAGATTCAATGTAAAAATAGGAATAGACCTCTGTATCGGGAGCCGTGTAATGTTTTCCCATTTCAGACC